AATGGATATTTTACACAGATTCTTATAACCAAAATCATAGAGAGAAACATGCAGATCACTATACAGGAAGGTTTTTGTACATTTGGTTAGCGAGGTACTGAAAGAACTCACAACCTCAGAGGTATTTTTAAAATTAAATTTATATTATTTTACTAAGCTTTAGTAAGAACATTCAGGGCTCTTTTTGTAGAAAAAGCCCAGCAGGAACTCATTAGCATAATGGGCCACACCCAATAGCATAAACTAATTAGCATATTAGGCCACACCCTAACAGCACAGCTCATTAGCATATTAGACCACACCCCCATGTTACCAGAAGTGTGGTCATCCAGCCACACCCAACTTTTGCTTCTTATTCTGTTTACTTTGTTTATTGTCAAAACCCAGGGCTTTTTTTGTAGCAGGAACTTCTTTGCATGTTAGGCTACAGACCCCTAATGTAGCCATTCCTAATGAGTTTCTGCTGTTGGGTGTGGCCTATTATGCTAATTAGTTCCTGCTGGGTGTGGCCAACTCAGGAGCCAGCCGGAACTCCATTCCTGTGCGTTCCTGCCCAAAAATAGCCCTGAGAACATTCATATGTAATACAATTCTACAACTTTAAATGCATTGGGCTGTTTAGGTTCTGGCTTCCTAACAGAGTGTTAAAAAACACACTCACTTTTTCTGGTGGTCACAAACCTTCTGAAAAAGGCTGCTCTAGTTTTGCAAGAAGATCCCCCTAAGTTGGGTTTTTGCAAGTGTCATGCATTCAGTCATGAAAGAGTTCAGCTGTTGTTTCTGTATTCTAATACTAGTCAGTTAGCTTAGAACCAGTCAGGTGTAGAGTAGAATCTTCCCATCAAGAAGGGGAGGTATTATTCTTAATGAGGTGACTTTAAAATTGACTATTGGCTAATCAATATACTGGAAGATAGTACATGCTATTCTGCACCTACACAAGGGGTGGAGCCTTTGGGGGAAACTTCCCTTTCCTTTGTCCTCACACCCAGAGACTAGTTACACAGACAAAGAAAGAAGATGAAGTTAGAACTAGAAATATGAGTCAGATTGTTACTGTTTTTCTTATTGTTTTTCTTCCTATGTAACCCTTCCCTGATTTTATAGCAAACTTAGAAGTTAAACACACACATATCTGTGGCCACTTCCTTCCACTGCGCTTTAGGCACTATGCTAAATATCTTACACCCTACCTGTACTCGCTCCAGAGCAGCACTGAAGCGTAAGGTTTGACCCTTGGGAGCCCACGCAAAGGCCTCTTCCAAGATGCGTTCAGCATCCTGCCACTTCCCAAGCCGGCAGTAGACTGCAGCGGTATTGTACAGCACCTGCAGAAAGCACCGGAAAAAACACCTCAGCTGGACACAAACTTCTTGGGCCACACAAAATTCTTCCTCAGGAGGAAACAAAGGATGAATGTTCAGACAGATATTGCCTTCACTGTCCCATGTGGGTAAACTTACTGATGTCAGCCTCCAGCGGATCCAAATAAGGGTGTCAGATTAGTCTTCAACCTGGGTTCAAGTCCCTACTCTGCCATTACAGTCACTGGGTGGCCATGGAAGCTTACTGGGCGACTGTGGGCCTGTCATACATTCTCAGCCTAAACGACCTCACAGGATTGTTGTGAGGATAAAATGAAGGACAGGAGACCAGGGAAGCAGCTTTGGGTCCCCATTGGGAAGAAAGGCAGGGATAAACATGAAATAAATAAATACTTCACTCACTACCTACTTCACAAGGTCTTGCAAGAATAAAGGAGAAGGGAAGACCGCATACCTGAGCCCCTTGGAGAACCGCACGAAAGGCAGCAGTTTTGACCCAGTTGCTCTGAGTTTCTAATTGTGTGGGACCAAGATAGCTAGGACGACTAAGAATTATCTCAGAATTTTGCTCCTTAAAGCGCATTAACCCTTTTCATTTAGAGTGAGCCTAGGTGGCTATTCCTTTGGGATGCACAGGTTCCAACCACGCCCTTTCCCGGCATTTTTAGCTTTAATTTAAAAATTTCCAAATTTAAAAACGTGGAGAAAGTGGGAGGAAACACTGCTGCAGAAAGGACTAATAATGTACATTCCTATTCCTTAAGAAGCTATAAGGGAAACTGTCAAGCAGCGTTCCTCTGAAATTTTCACGAGGCTGCTTCCACCTTCCATTCTTCTAGCCAATGAATGCAAATGTGTTGGGATGGCAGACAAGTATTTAGCCGCTCTTCACTTAAAGAATAAAAATAAAAGTTAATCTTATTGAAATAAAATTTAATTTTCATTTGAACACAGTGAGTAAGAGTCTCTACTATAAATTTAGGAGGCTGCTGGTTCAAATGTCACCTCTGCTATAAATTCATTAGGTGGTCTTGGACAAGCTAAAGCGGTCTAAACTCACCCCACCCCAATCTGCAATAAGGAGAATATAATCATATCATACTGGCCTACTTTGCAAGATTCTTATAAGAATAACTGAGGCCCCAGTCACATGGGCCGGAAAATGCGGGGGGGGGGAGCGTGGCTCTTTGCCCCGGAGCAAAATAATGCACGGCCGCCCGATCACACATCCCGTCGAGGTCCCGTGGTTAGGGCGTGATCACACGGCTATCCTGCAGCGCACTTCCTAGATGTTGTGGTGTGATCACGCCCAGAAAATCCGCCTATCATCCGTATCTTTAGCACGGCAAATGCTCCGTGTGAATGGGGCCTGAGATTGTTAGCTATACATGTTCTACAACTCTAATTCTGTGCATAAATGCCAATTAATACTATTATTTAGACTTTTTTTTACTGTTTGTACCAATTTAGGCTGTTTTTTACAATATTGTTTGTAACACCCCCCCCCCCCCCAAACTTATTGCGGATGGTAGGTGAAACTTAGAGAGAAGCTTGCTTATGCTACCTAATGAGTTTTTGGCATAGATGAGATTTAAATGGGGTATCTCTCAGACCTACCACCACCCACCCCAACCCACTGTTTCAACCTCTCCCCTTCTGCCCGATTTCTTGCTATATTCCACATTGCTGTATTTCACTGGGGGCATGGAGGGCTTGGGAGCCACTGGAGAACTCCCCATAACTGACCCCTGTCAGTCACTCTCCCACCCTGTTACTCAGTGTTCTGCCATCACCTACCTCCCAGGCAGACAAGACAAACTTCAGACCCAGCTGCTTGTAATCGATACGGGAGTTATTTCGGAGGTGCGTCAGAGCCAGTTGGCAGTCGTTCAGGGCTTCTTCATACCTGCAACGGTGAAAAGACAGGGCTCTAGAAGAAAGTCTTGTTTTCAGCTTTTGTGTTAGCGTGAGGTTAAAACAGAGAATTAGTAGTAGTTACAGGTTCAAACTTGGAATGGAAGACCCTGGTTCTAATACATGGATAACTATGGCCCAGTTACTGACTCTTAGCCAGGAAGTCCACAAGGAGGTTTTGAAGACCACAGCACGTCCTGCTGTTGCCCCCATCAAAAGGTATTTCAGAGGTATTCACCTGGCTCTTTCTATGGAGGTTCCCTTTAACCATCGTGGGTATATTAACTTGTCGAGTCCCCCTTTCAAGCCATCTTGTGGCAGTGAATTCTATAAGTTAACTATGGTCCCTGCCACATGGCGGGGGGGGGGGAGCGCGGGCAAAGTGCAGCTTTTGAAAGCTGCACCAAAATAGACACGCAGCGGCGGGCTCACACAGATCCCGTGAGCCACCGCGCAGTTGCTCCCCGGCATGATCGGATGCCAGGGAGACCGGGGAGAAAGCAACGAGACAGAGGCTGCCGAACTGCGCATGTGTGAGCATGCGCATTTCGACCAGGGGTCTTGGATGCGCCGGCAGAAGGACGCGCCGGCGATCCCATGGCCGTGCTTGATGGGGCCGTGCTGGTAAGTCCACCTCTGTAGGTGGTTTATTTTAGATGCGGCTTTTCGGCCTGAAGGGCCGGATCGGGGACGGGTGCACAATGTTTCCCATATGTTGCGGTGGGATCGCGCCCGTTTGCTCCGCCCCTGATCCGTCCCTCTTCCGGCCCAAAACCTTTCATGTGCTGTCTGAAGAAGTACTTCCATCCTGAATGTATCGCCCACTGATTTTTTTCGGTGGTCTTATACTGAAGCAGAATGCTCTGACTGTCAATGGCTCTCCAGGGGATCTGTTCCCATATCTGTAACACAAGATCCCAGGAGACAGAGACCCCAGGAACTGAACTGGGGCTCTTCAGCGGCAAAACATGTGTTGTCCTATGGAGTTATACTCTGTACATGGGGTTCTACCAAACTCATTTATATTTATATTTATTTTTTTTATAATTTTGATTTATAAACCACCCTTCTCTGAGTTCACAGAGCTCAGGGAGGTTAACAACAGAAAATCTATACAATTTAAAATCCAAAGAATTAAAATAACCAGGGCTTTTTTTGTACAAAAAGCCCATCAGGAACGCATTAGCATAATAGGCCACACCCAACAGCAGGAACTAATTAGCATAATAGGCAACACCCATGACAGCACAGCTCATTAGCATATTAGGTCACACCCCATGCCTTCCCTTGGCTTGCCCGGGCGCCCTGCGGTTGTGGGGAGCCTGGGCAAGCCTCCCATTGAAGGGAAGGGAAGGCAGTTTAAACTGCCTTCCCTTGGCTTGCTTGGGCACCCCGCAGCTGTGGGGAGCCCGGGCAAGCCGGCCCTTGGACAGGCTGGGGAAGGCATGGTGAGGCATTTAAATGCCTCCCCGATCCTTCCAGGGCTCCCCTGGCTTGCCCGCCTTGGAGTCGCCGAGGGGAGGGTCCGCTCTCCAGGGCTTCCCTCCGTAGCCAGGCACACAGAGGTTTTGGCTGTGGTGGGCGTGGCCAACTCTGAAGCCAGCCGGAACTCTGTTCCTGTGCGTTCCTGCCCAAAAATAGCCCTGGAAATAACTAAAAACATTTTCAGATGGGGCTAAAATCAATTTACAAATTGCATTAATGTCTCGCAAATAGATGGAGAAAAAGCAGGATGGGGGAGGGAAAGTGAGTGCCAGATGAGATGGTACCCGTTGCTGTCCTCAACCAAAAGCCTGGCGGAACATCTCTGCTTTGCAAGCCCTGCGGAACTGTACCAGGTCCCGCAGGGCGTGGAAATGTTATTTGGCAGAGAGTTCACCAGGTGGGAGCCAGGACTGAAAAGGCGCTGGCTCTGGTCGAGGACAGCCAGAAGTCTTTTGGACTAGGGATCACCAGCAGGTTGTTCTCAGCAAAGCGTAAGGCTCTTTGGAGGACACACCAGCCCCAACCCTCAGAGTTTCAGTTTCCCCGCCTGACCTTCAAGAAGATAAGCCTTTGGGCTTACCGGTAAACATGATATACGTGACCATTACTGGGTGATTTTCATCCCCTTTGACCACACAGTGGCACTCACCTCTCGAGCTGTAGGCAGACGTAGCCTCTCTGGTAGAAGCCCACAGCTAAGCAGTTGTCCTTGGAAACTGTTTGGTCAAATGCCTGGGATGGAGACAAATGACACTCCTAGTTAGCCCTGAAGTTGCCAACTTTTTAATGCTGCTCCTGTGAATGTAACCGCGGCAGCAAGAAATTAATTTGGGCCTAGGGTTGCCAGCTCTGGTTTGGGAAATATCTGGAGATTTGGGGGTGGAGCTTGGGGAGGGTGGAGTTTAGGAAGGGGAGGGACTTCAGTAGGGTATAATGGCATAGAGTCCACCCTCCACAGCAGCCATTTTCTCCAGGGGAACTGGTCTTGGTCAGTTGGAGGTCAATTGTAATAGTGGGGGATCTTCAGGCACTCCCTAGAGGCTGACAACCGCTAACAAAGACTTGGAGAGTGATTTAAACCAAAGTGATCAGCTTTATTGAAGATATGAACAAGCGCTTGAATTCAGTCATAACCAGAACAGATTAACATTGGGAGCTAGGCTCCTTTTAAACGTTCCCGGGCTAATGTAGCCACACCTATTTACAATTAACAACCAATGAGGTTGTGTAGATAACAACCAATGAGAGTCTTTCCCTCTCAGGAATTGGCACAGTTCTGATTGGTCGCCGTTGTGGAGCGACCAATAGTGAGTCCGTTCTGAGGAGCCTTTGTCTGGCTCGAAGCTTAACATAGGGAGTGAATGTGGCGATTCAAGTAAGTTATTTTAATACATTACATGTCCCTTTATCCTGACACGGAGATATGCAAGGGAAGACCTTCACTTTATGGCTGCCAGCCTCCAGGTGGGACAAACAACAAAGGCCCACGGAGCAAAAGAGCTGCTAGAATCAACAAGATGAAACTCCGAAGGAGGGCTGCCTGCCCACGACTCCCACTAAATATGCAAGTATACAACCATAAATAACACCAGTAACCATATAACAGTCATGATATGGTTACTGGTGTTATTTATGGTTATATACTTGCATATTTAGTGGGAGCCTTGGGCAGGCAGCCCTTCTTCGGAGTTTCATCTTGTTGATTCTAGCCTCCAGGTGGGGCCTGGAGATCTCCTGGAAATACAACTCATCTCTAGGCTACAGAGATAAGTTCCCCTGGGGAAAAAATGGCTGCTTTGGAAGGTGGACTGCATGGGATTATACCCTGTTGAGATCCCTCCCCATACTTCACCCTCCCCAGGCTCCAGCCCCAAATCTCCAGGAACTTCCCAAACTGGAGTTGACAATCCTTGGGGACCTTATTTGGGTGGGAAAGGGGCATATCAGTGTTTCAAATAAACAAAACCCTAGGTCAAGGGGGCTGGAGCAACTCACATCCATTTCAATGAGGGTTGTGTGGCTGAAGAGTCTGCTGGGATATGCCCACAATGACTGCATTTTTTAAAAGAAAATCTGAGCCAGAGTTCAGCCCCGGGAGTCCGGGACATGTCACATGATTATGAAGCACACTGCCTCTGGTCATAGGGAAAGTGTCTTTCTTCAAGGATGAACAACATTTACACAAAAACCTTCTAGAACAAGGCTTGGACCATTTTGCTTGGCATGCTGGTCTGATTTGCGGCCCAAGGGCATGAGGCCTGGCACTGGAAGAGTCTCTGTGGCTTCATTTGCCCCCAGTGCCACGTATCCAACTAGTACTTTGTGGCATCCATCCTGAACCCCTTGACAATTTGTCCTTGGGAGTCAGTGGACTCAATGAAATTGCTGAGCAGTCGGGTAAGAACAGATAAAAGGAAGTTCTTCTTCACCCAAAGAGTGATTAACACATGGAATTCACTACCACAGGAGGCAGTGGTGGATACAAGCATGGACAGCTTCAAGAGGGGATTGGATAAACACATGGAGCAGAGGTCCATCAGTGGTTATTAGCCACAAGGTATAGATAGGAACTCTCAGTCTAGGGCAAGTGATGCACTGTATTCTTGGTGCTTGGGGGTGGGGGGCAATGGTGGGAGGGCTTCTTAGTGTCCTGGCCCCACTGCTGGACCTCCTGATGGCACCTGGTATTTTTGACTACTGTGTGACAGAGTGCTGGACTTGATGGGCCATTGGTCTGATTCAACATTGGCTTCTCTTGTGTTCTTATGACCCTCAGGAACAGCACAAGGGGCAAAACGGTGGGAGGGGGAATTTACAGAAATTGCTGCCCCCTCTTCTGCAAATGAAAATACTGCTACATCAGAGGAACTGTGTGGTTGGATACATGCTGGTGCGTGTGGCCAAATACAATCTGCATCCTCCCCTTCCCCTTTTAATCACTGGAACACCAATATCTCTGCAGGTCAGTGTTATGGAAAAGTTGGCACTCAGGTCAACAAGGTAGCCTGCCCTGGTTCTAGTTACAAAGGAAAGACTTCAGTCTCTATTGCCCAGGGGGCATCATCAAGACTGTGAGTGAACACATCTTGGTGGTTCAGTAGCCTTATATTTAGAGCTTACGGTTTCTTTTCAGTGTCATAGTTTTATACTGAGAGCCAGTTTGGTGTAGTGGTTAAGAGCGGTGGACTCTAATCTGGAGATTTGGGTTTGATTCACCACTCCTCCACATGCAGCCATCTGGGTGACCTTGGGTAAGTCACAGTTTTCCGAGAGCTGTTCTCTCAAAAGCAGTTCTCTCAGAGCTCCCTCAGCCCCACCTACCTTACAGGGTGTCTGATGTGGGGAGAGGAAGAGAAAGGAGATTGTAAACCGCTCTGAGACTCCGAGTGAAGGGTGGGGTATAAATCCGACTCTTTTTCCTCTTCAGTGATGTTCATTTGCGCTAGATACGAGCTTTAATGACACACTGAGATGGAATGTGGAGGCAGAAAAATTGTGTCCGTTCTGGAATCTGCCAGCTGAAGCAGCTGCTTCTTGCTTTCCATTTGCACAAAACCCACCCAAGAAAGAGGCCCCCAGGAGGCAGCCTCTGGTTCTCACACATGCTAGAGAGAATAAGGTGGGAATGAGGCGACAGAATGGACCGCACCACATCAGACTGCAGGTGGAGAATCATTATTGTTTTGGAGGCTCTGCTACTTTACAACGTTCTGTTTGCAGGGAGTTTTTATGCAAAGCTGGAATCCACTACTTGGGCAGCCCATTCTTCCACTTCAGGGCTCTTCCAGCTCATTTTCTGGTCTGTGTGAACTGGGCACGTGTCACTGTTCTTAAGTGTAAAAAAGAAGCATGGTACAACTCAGACCTGCCAGGTGGTGACAGGGGCCTCACTTTTGGGCCTGGAAACTTGGCTTGCTTAATTCTAGATGAGTGGTATAGGTTGCTGTTTTTGTTGGGAATGACTCTTTGGACATGTTCAGAAGCATGCTCTTTACATAACCATTCATAATAAAGGAAGATGAGTATCTGGATCTGTCTGACATGGGCAAATTCCAGGAATTGGGGATGGTGCTGACTCATTACTTCTGGGACTCATAAATTTCCTTAGCACCTGCTCCTCCCAGATATTTCTTGCTTCTCTGGAAAGCGAGATAACATTCTCCACTCTCTGCCTCTCATGTTTTTTTTTAATAAACACTTTATTGAGTTTTATAATTTTCCATAAAGCATTAACAGTTTTTACACATATAAAACAATTATAGATACTATATAACCGGTTACCAGAGTAATAGGTGTAGCACAGTATTATAAATTGACAAACTCAGAAAACCACATAACCCAACAGTAAAAAATTCAAACTTGAAAACTTACATTAACATTGCACTCTAATTATATATAGCCCATTTTTCACAAATCATTTTCTCTGCCTCTACCTTTTCCAAGAAAGGAAACCATTTATCTAAAGGGTTAAGAATTAACCTTGTCATAACTTTCCTATCTGAAAAAACTGAAAACTTTTCTAGGGTAAAATAATCCCATATTTTCCTTATCCATTGGTCAGTTGTTGGAGGGTTATCATTTTTCCAATGCTGAGCAATTGTTGCTTTAGCTGCAGTCAAAAGGATTATGATTAGATCTTTGCAATCTCTAGGAATCTGATCCTCTTCCCAAAGATTTAATAAAATAATAGCTGAATCCATAGGAACAGTAACTCCTGTAAAGTACTTTATGAGTTGTAGAACTTGTTTCCAAAATTCCTGGATATGAACACATTCCCACCATAAACGAATAAAAGACCCCTTAAGACCACACTTCTTCCAGCATAAAGGACGTATATTAGAAGACATATGCGCAAGTCTAACTGGCGTAAGATACCATCTAAACAGTAGTTTATACGCCGAGGCTTGAATCATAAGGGATTTAGAAATACGGCTTGTAGTGCGCCATACCCACAACCACTGATCCTTTTGAAGCCTAACATGTAAATCCTTTTCCCAAGCTTGCTGGTAAGTAGTCTGACAGCTAGTGCTAAGCTCAGATAAGATTGTATATGTTTTAGATATTAGCCCTTTGTTCTTGCAGTCAGTACAACCGAGAAGGTTTTCAAAGTCTGTTAACCGGAAGTTTAAAGTCCTGTCCTCATCCTTGGTAAGTATAGATTGTAACAAGTTTTGAACCTATAAGTATTCAAACCAGTGTATTTTAACTTTGTATTTCTTTTCCAGCTCACTCTTAGTCAAACTTCTTCCCTTCCTGGTAACATCCAATATTCTCGTGATTTCCACTGACTTCCAGACTCTGAAGGCTCTGCCTCTCATGTTAAAATGGTATCGCTTTCCATTGTCTCTTCACACACTGTATGTTCGGTGCACACCTAAGGTTTTTGTTTACCTGGACCCATAAAAGGGCTAACAGTTTCAATGGACTTAGAAGGGTGTAACTCTGCTGAGGATGGCCCAGTACAAGTGACAAATGGGATTCACGACGCATGTACCGTACAGGACTGCTCGTTAAAGAGCACGGATCTCCTGGGGTTAACATCAGCAGCAAATCTGGCTGAATCAGACCAAGGATTCATCTAGTCCAGTATCCAGTTTCACACAGGAACCAACCAACCAGATGCCCTGTAAAGCATACCAGCATTGCATGGAAGTCCAAGCTGCCCTGCTGTTGCCCCCACCAAACTGAGGGGTATTCCACCTCTGAATACAAGAGGTTCCTTTTAGTCATCCCGACTAGAAGCCATCAATGGACTTCCCATTCAGGAATGTGCCTAATCCCCTTTTAAGTCCCAGGCCCCGGTTTTGGGCTGGGAGAGGGACGGATCGGGGGCGCAGCAAACGGGCGCGATCCCACCGCAACATCTGGGAAGTGTTGCGCACCCGTCCCCAATCCGGCCCTTCCGCCCGAAAAGCCGCAGCAAAACTAAACCACCTACCGAGGTGGACCTTCCAGCACGGCCGCATCAAGCCCGGCCGTGGGATCGCCAGCGCGTCTTTCTGCCAGCGCATCCCAGGGTCCTGGCTGAACTGCGCATGCTCACACATGCACAGTTTGGCAGCCTCCCTTTCCTCACCGTGGCTTCCCCCGGCATCTGATCGTGCCGGGGAGGGAATGCGCCGTGGCTCAGGGGAAAAATGTGATCCCGCCACGGCGTCTCTATTTTGGTGCGGCTTCCAAAAGCCACACTTTGCCTGTACCTTTCCCCTCCCATGTGGCAGGGACCCCAGTTAATTCTCTGTGTTTTCATTCCAGTTATTCTGTTCCATATTCCATCCCAATTATGCTTGCAAGCACGTTTTCCCCCCCTGCTTCCCCACAGCATCGTGGTACATCCACGTACCTGTGGAGGTTTCCACAGTTTTCCTCCAAACTACCTGCTTTGCTCCAAATTTTTGAGAAGGATTGGGGCAAAGCCTGGATGGTTGTCGTGGGGGTGGGAAAGTTGAGATTGCCCTGGTCCCACCCATACAGTAGCCTCTCCCTGTCACTGGGGCTTTTTAAAAACCAGTGAATGAATGGAGTTACGATGATAGCCTGTTATACTAATATAGGCAGGGGTCATTCCCTGCAAAAGCACACAGGAGCGGAGCTCCGGCAGTAAAGAGCCCAGGGGGCGGGCACATGCAACAAACCCCACCCCCTGCTCCCAGCAGCCCTCAGTCAGAGCAAGAAGCAGCCAGGTAAGTTGCAGAGCTCCCCCTGGCCCCCCGGTCCAAAACAGTCCAGTGGCACCTTTAATTTTAATTTATTTATTATTATTTTTTTT